TACTTGAATGTTTTTATATATTTTGATAACTTTAATAACTTCAAGTGATGTCTATAATTGCTGAAGCGCAGATCTCTAACAAATGTGCCTTAAAACTACTGATTAAACAGTATCTTGAAGGTTTAAAAACGTGTTTGTGTATATTTGAATTCATGTAGGTGTCTTGTCATCGCAATCAAGCGATCATGGAAAACTGTATCAGTTTGTAAAGTTGCTCTTTGCCTCTTCCTAGAATCACAGAACTATTTAATGCAATCACCAGATGAGTGCTTTTAAGACTCCTTGATTCCAAGGAGGAGTCTATGTGTGTTTTATACTAAAAAGACATAAGTTGGGGCGCCTGGGTGGCTCAGTGGTTGAACATCTGCCTTTGGCTCCTGTCATGATCCTGGGGTCCTGGGATCAAATCCCTCATCGGGCTCCCTGCAGGGAGCCTGCTTCTCCTTCTGCCTATGTCTCTGCCTCTCTGTCTCGCATGAATAAATAAATAAAATCTTTAAAAAAAAAGAGAAAAGATATAAATTATTTCAAGCACTCCCCTTCCCACCCCCCCTCTCCTTAGAGGGAGCCACTGCTAATGTTTATTCTCCCAGAAAATTATAATACATATTCAAGTAGATCCATGTATGTGGTTGAATGTATGAAGTATATATTTTTGAGCTTCTCTTTTTTTTCTTATAGCATCTTAAAGATCTTTCCATATAAATAGTCACTTCATTCTTTTTAATAGCTACACAGCATTCCACCGTATCAGTGTATACTTCCATAAGGGTTAGCTCCTTTTTTTAAAAAAAAAGATTTTATTTATTCATGAGAGAGACAACGAGAGGCAGAGACACAGGCAGAGGGAGAATCAGGCTCCATGCAGGGAGCCCAATGCAGGACTCGATCCCAGGGCCCCAGGATCATGACCTGAGCTGAAGGGAGATGCTCAACCACTGAGCCACCCAGGTGCCCCAAGGGTTAGCTCCTTGCTAGGCTAGATACTTGGTTCAGCTCACCAACACTGCTCCCCATCCATCATCCTGTTACAAACTCGAGGAGCTGGAATCTTAAAAGTCCCTGCAAGCATGTCTCTATTTCTCTGTTCTGCCTTTTTCTCCTAAAGAACAGGTTCTTGTTCTCTATCAAAGCAGGATTCCATATTCTTGAAATCACAAAATATTCTCATCCCAGTGAAGAGCAGAAGTCAATTAGGCAAGTTTTTAGTTTGCATTAACTCTTAAGTGGCAATATCTGATTGCAGCTACTCATGAGTAAATAATGATGGAAAAAGGTATGGGTTTTGCCAGAGTGGAGCTGCAAGGTCTAATCCCTGGGGAGATAGGACTTCTGAATGTGTCTTCTTTACATACGGTATGACTTTATTAGTAAATTCCATCTGGTGTATTTTCTCTCCAATGCATAGGGTGCTTGGGACCTGGCATGGCTTTGCTACTTAATTGTATAATTTTGTACAGGTGTCTTCACCTTTCTCAGATAAAATTTCCTTATCTTTAAATGGAAAATAAAACATATATTTACTTTTATTTTTGAGAATGGAGTTAGGGACTAATATACTTTTTCTTTTTGAAATTTTGTTTTCTCATTATAAAAATACTTGTTGGTTTTGTTTTTTTTTTATTAGAGAGATACAGAGAGCACATGAATGGTGGGGGTGGGGGGAGAAGCAGACTACCCACTGAAGGGAGTTAGACTGGGGCTCAATCCCAGGACCCTGAGATCATGACCTGAGCCGAAGGCAGATGCTTAACTGACTGAGCCACCCAGGCACCCTATTGCCAAATTCTTTTTAAGATATCACAGAGGGAGGGAGGATGGGATGAAAAGAAAGAAAAAAAATGTTGGTATTCTCATTTCTTTTTCACTTACTGTGTTTTTCAAAAGTTCTTTTTTTTTTTTTTTTTTTTTTTTTTTTTAATTTTTATTTATTTATGATAGTCACAGAGAGAGAGAGGCAGAGACACAGGCAGAGGGAGAAGCAGGCTCCATGCACCGGGAGCCCGACGCGGGACTCGATCCCGGGTCTCCAGGATCGCGCCCTGGGCCAAAGGCAGGCGCCAAACCGCTGCGCCACCCAGGGATCCCTCAAAAGTTCTTTATAAGCATTTCAATTGGCTACATAATATAATATCCAGATGGGTCATAATTTTTAACATTCCTTTGTTGCTTAATATTTTGTTTTCAAATTTTCCTGACCAAAAAAAAATTTTCCTGACAATAACTGGGACTTCTATAAATTTTTATTAACTTTTTTTTCTTCTTAGGAGCAGAGACCTAGAAGTGAGATTACAACAAAGGTTTAGAAAGAACATTTGAAAAAAAAAAAAAAAAAGAACATTTGAAGGCCTTTGAGAGGTTTATACTCTCAGTATAAAGTGAGAATGTTATATCATCCTCACTTTCACTAAGAATTTAGGTTTAAGAAACTATAATTCACCATAATTTAAAATTATTGTAGTTTGTTAAAATAAATAAATAAATAAAATTATTGTAGTTTGTTAGAATAGTTTGAAAGCAACTAGCACCTCAATTATTTTATAGTGTATATTAAATATTTTATAGTCAATTGGAAAAAATATATAATCCAAGGGTGTAAAGCAGGAAGTGAAAGCCCCCTTCTCACAATCCCAACCTTCTAAAGTTACCAACATTAAATGCTTTGTTATATATCCTCCCAGGAATGCATCTTTGATTTTTTTCCCTTCTCATATATCCTACATTTGAAAAATTATTCCTATTAGATAGATCCCTTAAAGTAAGTAGGGCTGTTGTATCAGGGGATTTGTGTTATTTTTTAAATATCCAATAAAAATATTTTCATAGGACTTTTTCGTTAGTTTTAGAATCACAGCAAAATTGAGAGGAAGGTAGAGATGCCGGTACGCTCTTGGCCCCCACACATGCATGGCCACCCCCAATCTCCATATCCTCCACCAGAATGGCACATGTGGTAGAGGTGATGAGCCTACACGCACGCACTGGGTATTCACGTTAGGATCCGCGTCGCTGGATCTCCTCTCCATTACCCTGCATACCGCCCCAAACCATCTGCACCAATACGGATGCATACCAAGAATAAAGTGAAAATCAATGTTCTCTGTACGAATCCTAAAACTAGAGAAAACGACAAAATTTAAATCGGCTGTTAAGCCCCACCACGGACACTACTGACCATGTGGTGAATTTAATTTCATTCCGCAATTTCTACTTTTTAAAATTTCTGCTATTTTAAAGTCGATGTAGGATACATAGAGGAAACTCTCCTTCCATGTTAGTAATGCAAAAAAATACAGTGGCTGCGCCAATAAAGAATCCCTTCGTGATGATCCTTTTCCCCCAGAATTTACACCGGGGCAGGATCTTGGGAAGAGCAATGAAGCATCCTCATCTCCCTAGCAACCCAAGTCTCTTACACAAACGTCGGGGTCCTGAGTGATTGATGGTGATCGCATCCAATACCGTCTTCTCACTTGCCCTTTCCAACCAATCAAATGGAAGCAGCGGCCTAGGGGGCGTTCCCACCGGTGCAACGGGGGGCAGTGTCGCTCTGACGCCTGCTGTGCGTCATCAGTCTGCGCTCAACACACGTTTCGCCCGCTCCGCGCCGGGGAGCGGTTACCTTGTCGCAACAATGAGCTGCGCCGCGTGGGCGGCGGTCCGCTCCCTGTGGCGGCTGCGCGCGGGCACCCTGCGGCCTCTCACAGGTAAAAGAGGAGCGCGGACGCGGATGCGCGGGAAATCGGCGGGCGAGGGAATTCGTCGGTGTCCTAGGCCGAAGAGGTCACGGGGGCCTACGTTCGTCGACGTCATCCGGCTGCGACGGAGGCCTGAACCTGGGGGCGCTGATAGGCGGGGCGGGAGAGGCGTGGTGTTCCGCCGGGACGCTCGGGCGGCGCGTTGGGCGATGACGTCATTGTGCACCTGTGCCGGGCGGTCCCTGCGGTAGCGGTCGGCGTTCCGGGCCGAGGACAGGTGGCGACCTGGAAAGTGCAGAGTCCGCGTTGCGGTCGTGCGGCCGGCGGCGTGGGCTTGGTAGAAGCGTAGGTTCAAAGGTCGCACCCCTGACCTACCGGGTCGCCTTGTCTGCATTTTAACGAGACCCTCGAATGACTTGCATGCACTCTAAAGCTAGAGAAGCACCAGGGGGGTGGAGGAAGCTTAGAATTCGGATTAGGGAGATGGGTTAGGATCTCCGGTCCTTCTCCAACCTTTTTTTTTTTTTTTTTTTTTCCCATTAGAGCTGCCCCAGAAAATTGTTGTGAGGTCTTTTTCTCAAATTTAAATCATTTGTGTACCACCTAAAGGTTTTTTTAAAATATTTTACTTATTTATTTTTTTGTAAATTTATTTTTTATTGGTGTTCAATTTGCCAACATATAGAATAACACCCAGTGCTCATCCCATCAAGTGTCCCCCTCAGTGCCCGTCACCCAGTCACTCCCACCCCCCGAAGATTTTTTTTCTTTTTTTGCCTTTTAGCAATACCATTTGTACTTTTGATTACTAGATGTGCTTTTTCTACGACCGTGTTCCGTTTTCAAATTCAGTAATTTCATGGAAACGGAATCCTTATGGTAAAGACGGAAAACCAGTATTGCCTGCCCCTAACAGAGTAATCAAAAAAATAAATGCGCTGGAAACAAAAACAAAAAGCAAATTGTATCAGGTACTGTTGTCTACCAAGGCCTGAACCTTATGGGTTTAAAAAAAAAAAAGGGAGGGGTAGGAGATTGGCAAATATTAAGAAGGTATTTGTAAACTGAGACATTCTGTTTGATGAAATCAAAAAGATTGCAAAGGAATTTAGAAGAAAGTAACTCTTACTACATGGGTGTATTTAATGCATGTTCGTAAATCACTTAATATCTTCCGATATACCGCTCAAAATCTAGGTACCATCATTGTTAGGTGTTTCACCCTTTGGGAAGGCACTAACATGATATAATGCATTTGAGAGCTTTTAGCACTGAGCCTCAACTTTATTTTTACTCAATTTTAAGATGTATGACAATGCAGGCAAAACTCAGAGGATTGTTAAACGTGACTTTCAACGTTCTATTGTTGAGCCATTGAGCGTAACAGAATAAGAGTCCTTGTTTTTCATTTATAAAGTTACTTTGCTTCCTGTATCTCATTTTATCGTTATAATTCAGTAAGAAAGGTGTTACTATTGTATGTCTCCTTAGGAAGGAAATAACCTGATGATTATTGCCAATTTTATATATAAGAAATGGTGATTCTGATTTGTCCAAGGTTAGTGTTAAAGACAGAAAACATCTTTTCTTTTCTTTCTTTCCTTCCTACCCCTCTCTCCCTCTGTTCCTTCCCTTCTCCCTTCCTTTTAGGTAATCTCTACCCCCAACATAGGGTTTGAACCAACAACCCTGAGATCAAGAGTCACATGCTCTACCAACTGAACCAGCCAGGTGCACCAACCATCCCATAATTTTTAAAGATACCTTGTAGAGATTGTGAAAAGGTAGAAATGGCAAATATTTCAATACCCAGTCTTCCACACACCCCACAAAACATCATCTATTAGGTGCCTGAATCTGGGAAAGTGGTGCAGTGCTAGGGAACTGTTTAGTATGTTTTTTTTGAAGATTTTATTTATTTATGATAGACATAGAAAGAGAGAGAGGTAGAGACACAGGCAGAGGGAGAGGCAGGCTCCACGCCGGGAGCCCGAAGTGGGACTCGATCCCGGGACTCCAGGATCGCGCCCTGTGCCAAAGGCAGGCGCTAAACCACTGAGCCACCCAGGGATCCCCGTTTAGTATGTTTTTAACAGAAATATAGTGCTGCCCATCAGAAGTCAGCTGTGTGTTTGAACTCATTCTGTGTACTCAGTCCCTTGCTATTTCTCATTAAATGTGTTTTTGTTTTGTTTTGTTTTGTTTTTTAATGAGTATTGGCTTGTCTTAAAGTTCCTTCCCATTAATATGTTTTTAGATAGGCGTAACAAATGAAAGAAAAGGCGAACAAGATTATCTTGAGGAATAGGGCCAGCTTATCATTTTCAGTTTTAATTCCTAGCAGTCATGTTTCTGCAAGGAGGTCAAATTAATGGGAGCACCAGTTCTTGGACTTAGAGGCAACAACTTGGGACAGGCTACCTTGATTTCGTCAAATGTGTCAAATTGTTCTCCATATAAAACATGGGCATTAACCACAGTGACCTGCTGTCTGATGGCATAGATCTGAGTGGTGCATTATACCTAGCAGCATTTGGACTCCATCCAGTTGTTGATGTCTACTTCCCAGGTTCCATCCAGTTTCGTGAGTCTGATGTGCTCAGTGAGATGAAGCAGATTATATGGAAGAGTGGATCAAAGCTGGGTCACCATGCTTCAGACCCTCATGTCATACTCCTTTGTTTAGTGATGCATTTAAAACCCCACCTGGTCAAAAAGTTCAAATGAAGAATCACCCCAAATTTTATCTGGCCTACCCCATCACTTTTTGTCCAAAGTACTCAAGCCTTTTAATGAAAACCCTACAGATGTACTCAAAGTGAGGTTTTCTGCACATTTTCAGGGTGTTGATGTTAGCCTAAATGAAAAGAAGTATGTATTAACGATATGGTAGGCATACATAAGAGCCTTGGAACACATCTCAAGATGATACCAACACACATCACAGTTCACATTACAAACTAACTGGCCTCCCTGGGTCTCCACTTTCATAACTGCAAAATGAGCTGATAACACGTTATATACCTAAACTTGTAAAACTCTAGGGGAAAAAATTTGGGGGGTACCTTAATGTAAGGCTCAGAGAACACATTGAGGGTGTCACTACTAGGAGATTTCTTTTTAAAAGACTAAATTTAATCTGTCCTGAATAATTTACATTTCAAAGACAAGAATTTCATTGAACTGATAGTATACCATAACAAGATCAATCCTAAGCCCCAGAGCACATTTTCCAAATCCCATGCCCATGGGTGTTTTGAGAGGACTTAAATCTGTGGTTCTCAACCTTGACTGCAGAAAAGATTTGTCCAGAGCTTTTATAAAAATCCACCCTGAGATTAACTGGGGAGCAACATCCATGGTTTTGAAAGCTCCTCAGGAGGTTTTGTGCAGCCAGGGTCAGGAACAAAGTAGGCCGGGTGGGGAGGTGAATTGTTCATCTAGAGGCCACGTGCCTTGCCGCCACGTTAGCTGCCTGGTGAAAAGACAGGTTCAGTATTTCCAGATCTTTCTGTGATTAATGTGAAGCCAGAAATCCAGATCTTTAGGTAAAATCTATGCTTTAAGTGTTGGTAACTAATTCATTAAAAAAAAAAAAAGATAAGGATCCCTGGGTGGCGCAGCGGTTTAGCGCCTGCCTTTGGCCCAGGGCGCGATCCTGGAGACCCGGGATTGAATCCCACGTCGGGCTCCCGGTGCATGGAGCCTGCTTCTCCCTCTGCCTGTGTCTCTGCCTCTCTCTCTCTCTCTCTCTCTCTCTCTCTCTCTGTGTGTGTGTGTGTGTGTGTGACTATCATAAATAAATAAAAATTAAAAAAAAAAAAAGATGGGCGGGGGCGTGCCTGGCTAGCTCAGTCATTAGAGCATGGGACTCTTGATCTTACGGTTGCGAATTCAAGCCCCGCATTGGGCTTGGAGCCTACTTAAAAAAAAAAAAAAAAAAAAAAGCAAAAAAGCAAAAGAGCACTGCAGATTAAACAGAATACATTTATGAGCATACCCTACCCACGGGGAACTCATCTGTGACCTTTGTTCTAAGGCGCCTCTTTCTTCTGCCTATAAAAGGAAACATCTGTTTTACTCAGGAGTAATAAAGAATAAAAACATTTGTGTTGCAGCGTATGGAAGAAGAATTGGTGTCAGGTTTTACAGTTCAGGAATGACCTTAGACAATGTCAATCGGGCAGTTGTGGATCGAATAATCCGGGTGGATCATGCAGGTGAATATGGAGCAAACCGAATCTATGCAGGACAGATGGCTGTCCTGGGTCGGACAAGTGTCGGGCCAGTCATTCAGGTGGGTACTTCATTATCTCCACCCACCCACCCACTGGCCTAGTCTTACTGAACAGCAGGGGGGTCCAGAAGCCTTCAAACCATGAATCACATGAGGTCATACATTTGCAAGGGAGAGCAAAAATTGGACATTTTAGGGTGGGCAGTGGAGCCAGTGAAAAATATATTATTCTTTTTATGTGTATGGCACCTGGGTGGCTCAGATTGTGATCCCGGGATCCTGGGATCCAGTCCCACATCAGGCTCCCCATAGGGAGCCTGTGTCCCTCTGCCTATGTCTCTGCCTCTCTCTGTGTGTCTCTTGTGAATAAATGGATAAATAAAATATTTTTTAAAAAAGTATCCTTTTTATGTGTAAAGCACAGACATACAGTACACAAACATATATAGTACACCTGAAGTATTAAAATTACATCATGGAATGGGCAGTAAAAAAGGGTTGAGAATAATTACATTGGTGAAAGCACCAGTTGCTGAGAGGTGGTGATCCTGTCCCCAGTGGGGATATTTTATATATATATTTAAAGATTTTTAAAATTTATTTATTCATGAGAGACACAGGCAGAGGGAGAAGCAGGCTCCTTGCAGGGAGCCTGATACAGGACTTGATCCCGGGTCTCCAGGATCACACCCTGGGCTGAAGGCGGGCAATCCCCAATATTTTATATTTTATAATGAGAGGCAGAGAGAGGGGCCTGGGCTTTGTTGTCACAAAGACCCGGGTTCACGTTCCAGCTTTCTTCCACCTACCTGTGTGACCTTGAGGAGGTTCCATGACCTCTCTGGGTCTCCATTTCCGTATCTGTGAAATGAGCTGATAACACCTACCTCATTGGGTTTGGGTGAGGAATAAATGAGGTGGCAGGCATAGGGCAACTAACACCATGTCTGGCATGTAATAGCACGAGTCAAATTGCCTGCTCTGAGTTCTTGGGCAAGTTGCCTAACCTCTCTGTGCCTCACTTTATCTGTATAATGGGGATAATAATAATAGTTTGTGCAGTTTAAGTGAATTGCCTTCGTAAAGCTATTTGATAGTGAGTGCCTGGCACTTAAGAAGTGCTGTAATTTGGGGGATCACTGGGTGGCTCAGAGGTTTAACACCTGCCTTCAGCCCAGGGCATGATCCTGGAGTCCCGGGATCGAGTCCCATGTCGGGCTCCCTGCATGGAGCCTGCTTCTCCCTCTGCGTGTGTCTCTGCCTCTCTCTCTCTCATGAGTAAATAAATAAAATCTTAAAAAAAAAAGTTCCATACGTTAACTCTTTTATCATTCTCCCTTTTTCCTTTGTTTTTTTTAATAATAAATTTATTTTTTATTAGCGTTCAATTTACCAACATACAGAATAACACCCAGTGCTCATCCCGTCAAGTGCCCCTCTCAGTGCCCGTCACCCATTCACCCCCACCCCCCGCCCTCCTCCCCTTCCATCACCCCTAGTTTGTTTCCCAGAGTTAGGAGTCTTTATGTTCTGTCTCTCTTTCTGATATTTCCTACCCATTTCTTCTCCCTTCCCCTCTGTTCCCTTTCACTATTATCTATATTCCCCAAATGAATGAGAACATGCAATGTTTGTCCTTCTCCGATTGACTTACTTCACTCAGCATAATACCTTCCAGTTCCATCCACGTTGAAGCAAATGGTGGGTATTTGTCATTTCTAATGGCTGAGGAATATTCCATTGTATACATAAACCACATCTTCTTTATCCATTCATCTTTCGATGGGCACCGAGGCTCCTTCCACAGTTTGGCTATTGTGGACATTGCTGCTATAAACATCGGGGTGCAGGTGTCCTGGCGTTTCATTGCATCTGAATCTTTGGGGTAAATTCCCTTTTTCCTTTGATAAAAATGATACTTCTATTCTAGCAGTCTAGAGGGAAATGACACAATAGGTGATATGCTGCCCTTCTGATTTTGGAATGGGCTGAACACCTCATTTCTCATTAATTGTGGACTTTGTCCTTGAATAGGCTATGCGGGTCCAAGAACTGCTGGAGCCGTGGTTCATGGCCCACTTATCTGGAGTTGAGGGAACAGGCTCTTCTCTTGGTTTGTTGGCACCCTCTGTATCCACGATGCTTTTCAGTTGATGTTTTGCTTTTTTCCTCCAATAATTCAAGGAGAGAGGGGGAAATAGCAGTTCTCATTTTTCATTCCATTTCCACATTGCTTCCTTTTCCCGACTTAGGGCATGTAGCTTCTCCTTGGTATGTAGCCGGTGACCTCTATGTGATGCTTGCATGTCCTTATTGTTATGTTTCTTACAGAAAATGTGGGATCAAGAAAAGGACCACTTGAAAAAGTTCAACGAGTTGATGGTTGCATTCAGGGTGCGGCCGACGATTCTGATGCCCTTTTGGAACGTGGTAGGGTTTGCACTGGGTATGTGTCTGTCCAAAAGAGCTTACATGAGCTTAGGGATCTGGCAATGATTAAATCGTTAAAGTACCGATTTCATAATTCTTTATGTGTCCTCTTAACCGCCTTTTTATTTCCTTAACATTTTTAAAAGTCAAATGGACTTTTTGGGGGGACTTAAATTTACTTAATTATACTTACTTTACTTTTTTTTATTTTACTTAAATTTACTTAAATATTTATGTATTTGAATCAGTTTATAAATAGAAGGTGCGATAAAAGCAAATACAACAGAGAAGGAAAAAAAATAGAGCAATTCAGGTGTATCCAGGTGATGTTCTCTGACAAAGGTTCTAAGCTTGGGATCAGCTCACTCTTAAAAAGGGAGAAGACTGGGGATCCTTGGGTGGTTCAGTGGTTTTGGACGAGGGCGTGATCCTGGAGTCCCGGGATCAAGTTCCTCATCGGGCTCCCTGCTCTCTCTCTCTCTCATGAATAGATAAATAAAATCTAAAAAAAAAAAAAAAAGCGAGAAGACTAAATGTTAGAAAAGAATCAAAGACATACCCCAAATGAAGACTTTCTTCTTGCTATATTGAGAGGGTTCAGAAGAGCCTTGAAAAGAGAATAGCATTCTTACTATGTGATTCGGGATTTAACAGTGTGACCTAGTACCACCTAAAACCGGTTTTCACTGGGCAGGTTGCTCCTAAGCATAGATGGCAGTGTCTAGAGACATTTTTGGCTGTCACAATCAGGGCTGCTACTGGCATCCAGTGGGTAGAGGCCAGGGGTGCTGCTAATGTCCTCCAATGCCCAGGACAGCCCTAACAACAGGGAATTACCCAGCCCCAGAGCCCGGAGTACTGAGCTCGACGAACTCTGACCTGACATGATCTCTCCTCAGTCAGTGTGGTCTCAGTCCCATCCCTTTCTGCTCTGGATTTGACAATTCCAGGTGCAGGAACTGCCCTGCTTGGGAAAGAGGGAGCAATGGCCTGCACTGTGGCTGTGGAAGAGTCCATAGCACATCACTATAACAACCAGATCAGGACGCTGATGGAGAAGGATCCTGAAAAATACGAGGAGCTTCTTCAGGTATTTGAATATACTCTGGAAAGGGGCTGCCAAGGGAGAAAAGGGCAACTTGGTAAGGAGGAAAAAAAATAGAAAAGTAGGGAATGACAGGCCTTAGAAACCTAGGAGAGCACCTCATTCTAAAGGTAGGAAGCACAGAAAGCCAAAGCCGTGGGCCCTGGTCACATGCTCAGGGAGAGCTGGGACCAGAAGCTATGTCTCCGGAGCCCACATCTATATTCTCCACTTCTGGATCACTGAAAGATTCTGAACAAATGTGAGCACAAAACCCTCAATAAATAAATGAAATAATAGGTATCTTCAGATGATGTTCTATAGCAAATAAGGGAACTGTTTAATTTTTTTTTTAAGTCTAAATTAGGGATTGGTAAATCCTGGCCTGGGGCAGACCACCTATTTCTGTAAATTGTTTTATTGGAACATAGCCACACCTGCCCGTTTAGATGTTTGTGGCTGCTGTCCCTGGCAGAGTTAAGTAGGTGTCAAGGGGACCATACTGCCTGTGGAGCTTGAAGTGTTGATCTCCGGCCCTTCATAGCGAGAGGTTGCCTACCCCTGTCTTAGATGGTAGTATGAGGATTTAACCTCCAGGAGGAGATAGGACAGCAGGAGAGTTGGATCCTGACTTGCTTTGATTTCTTTGTATTTAACCAGGTGATAAGGAAATTTCGGGATGAAGAGCTAGAGCACCATGACATAGGCCTTGAACATGACGCACAACTGGTAGGAGACCTCCCTTTACTGTTTGCTTGTGGGACTCTGGGCACCTTATTTGGCAGATTAAGGGGTGAGAGGTTTTTGTGTCTTGAGAAGTAGATTTCATTGTAACCACCAAAGAAAGCAAACCAAAACAGTGCTTTGACAAAAAAGCAGGCCAATGCGTTGCTCCCAGCTGGGATCTTGTTTCTTGCTTCTTCCTTCATCATTTCCACTAGCAGCTTCCTTCCCCTTCCTGACCAGAAACCAAATGATTCAAATGCTCTGACAGTCATGAAACCACCCCAACCTGATGAATTAAAAGACATTGTTAGATCTTAAGTCTTATCCAGAGAGTTCCAGCCTTGCCATACCAGGCCATGTCTTCCTGCTACAAGTGAACATAGAACATGTTTCTTTTGTTTGCTTATTATCATTTTTAGGCTCCAGGATACACCATTTTGAAGAACCTTATCCAGGCCGGATGCAGCATGGCGATATATTTATCAGAAAGATTTTAAAGTATGTCCATTTTTCCCTGTCTACAAAAGATGACAGTGATTTAACAAGTGGCACTGGCAGAAAAGGAAATGTGCAATTATTGTTATATGAAACTTGTTAATAAACTGCAGGAGCTTTTTTTTTTCATTAATAAAACTCTCTAGTGTTTTTTTTTCCCCCCCTGTACTGCCTTCTCCTAGAAGGCTGACCGCTCACCGGGTTTGTTCCAGTTAAAACAAATGAAGCTCTTCCTTGTTTGTTCTATAGTCCATTATTTTGTAAAACATTAAGAATGAATCATTAAGAAAATAATGGGATTTTTTTTTTAGATTTATTTATTTATTTTGGAGGGGATGGGAATGCACGCGCATGAGTGCAGGAGAGAATCTCAAAGCAGACTCCCTGCTGAACACAGAGCGTGGCGAGGGGCTTGATATCACGACCCTAAGATCATAACCTGAGCCAAAAGCAAGAGTTGGATGCTCAACTGACTGAGCCACCCAGGTGTCCCAGAAATAAGAGAAATCTTTAAGAAAGAAAATTTGATTTCACTCCTAACCAAAGGTAACTTCAAACATGAGGGTGTTGAAGATCAACAAAGCAAGACTGTCAAATCCATTAGTTAAATAGAAGACTGCCATTATTTCCAGCGGCCTCCTTAGCTGCTCTTCCTCTCTTCTAGATTTCTCCTTATCAGAGGGTGCCAGGGTGTCTTGCATGGCGCAGTTTTGTCTGTCCTCTTTGTCTTGGTATCCCATCCTGCCTTGTGGCTCATTCCCTACCATTCCCTTTTCAGCCCAGCTTTCTCATTTCCAAATATCCAACTGTCTACCCAGCTCTTCCACTTGGAAGTCAGAGAGACCCTCAAGCTCCATGTGCCCCATCTGAACTCCTCCCCCACCTCCATCCTGATGCCCCAGCGGCGTTCCTTATCACAGTTAATAGCAGCTCCATCCTTCTGGTCCTCAGGCTAAAATCTCTAGACTCACCTTTGACACCTACCTAATCTCTAGACTCACCTACCTACCTCTAGACTCACACCTCCATCCAGTCTGCCCGGACATCCTACAGGCTCTGCCAAAGCCTTTTCACTGCCTCACGAGCTGCCACCTTCATCTTACCTGGATTATTTTAGAAGCCTCCTTACTATTCTTCCTGCCTTACCCTGTCCTCCCACAATCCATTCTCCACCCACAGTCATAGTGATCCTTTGAACTGTATGCCAGGCCATGTTCCTGCTCAGCTCGGAAACCCCTAATGGCTTTTCCCAGTTCCCTCAGCATCAGAGTCAAAGTCCCTAAAATGGTTTCTAAGAACCTGCGTGATTTGGCCCTCTGACCCCTTCCCCTTTTCCTCAATGTGCTCCAGCCATGCTGGCCTCCTTGCCATTTCTCAAAACACCAAGCAAGCTCCTGTCTCAAGGCATTTGCAATGGCTGTTCCCTCTGCCTGCAGATAGCCACATGGATAAATCCCTCACCAACTCTCAAACTTTTGTCTCATGTCACCTCTTAAAGGAGGCCTACCCTGACCACCTCTTTCAAAATTGCAAACCCTATCCCACTGCATGCTTCATCCCACTTGTTCAACTCTTCCATTTTTTTTTTCTCACCATAATGCTCATCAACTTCTGGCATATTATATACTGTACTTACTTGGTTTTTGTTTGTTTCTCCCTGCAAGACTGTAAGCTGTATAGGTCAGGAATCATTTTAATCACTGGCACATAAAGAGTCATCAGTGGGATTGGATGAAGAAATAGCTCTCCCTTGTTAGAAGTCATTTTCACATAACTAGTAATTCAAGACTACTCCATGGGCTTCTCCACAAAATTCAGTAGAGATTTATTTATTGAAAAGATGCTACCAAGTCAGGCTGGGCCCCTGGGTTCTAGATCTATAGAGTATGGTTTGCTATAAAACTCAAAATGTAAAAAAAAAAAAAAAAAAAAAAAAAACAAAAAAAACTCAAAATGTTCCAGCCAAGAAGAAAACACACACACACACACACACACACACACACAAAAAAAAAAAAAAAAAAAGCAAAACATGCTACCAAGAAACCAAAGAAAGGCCATTCTCTGTGCTTCTTGCTGATTTAAAAAGAAAGCAACAAAAACCAGGCTGGGTAACCACATGCAAAAGAATGAGTTTGGACCCTTATTTCATAGCTTATACAAAAATTAACTCAAACGGATTAAAAGTACAAATGGTAATGCTAAAACTCTAAAACTCTTAGAAGACATAAGGGTAAGTCTGTGTGACCTTGGATTAGACCAGTTTCCTAGATTTGACACCAAACGTACAAGTAACAAAAGAAAAAAGCTTAGATAGATAGGACTTAATCAGAATAGGAACTTTTGTGCTCTTCAAGAAGGTGAAACATAGCCCACAGAATGGGAGAGAATGTTTGCAAATCATAGATCTGATAAGGGATTTGTACTTAGAGTATATAAAGAACTCTTACAACTCAACATAAGACAACTAGCCCCATTAAAAATAGTCAAAGATGTGAAAAAAAGATGTACACATGGCCAATAAGCATTTGAAAAGATGCCCCAAATCATTAGTCCTTAGGGAAAACCACAGTGAGCTAACAACCCACAATTACTACTCAAAACGTAGAAAATGACCTATTGGCAAGGGTATAGAGGAACTGGATCCTCATACACTGCTAGTGCCAATGTAAAAATGGTGCAGCCCCTTTGGGAAAAAAAAAGTGTAACAGTTCCTCAGTCAATTAAATACAGTTACCATATGATACAGTAACTCTAGGTATAAATCCTGAAGAAATGAATACCTGAGTTCAAACAAATACATATACATGAATGCTCACAGCAATGTTATTCCTAATAGCCGAAAGGTGGAAACAATCAAAATGTCTATCACCTGATTTGTAGATAAGCAAAATGTAGCATATCTATACCTTGGAATAGTATTTGGTTGTAAAAAAGGAATGAAGTATACAAAAAAAAAGGAATGAAGTACTACTGAACGTGCTATAATATTGATAAACCTTAAAAACATGATATTCAGGCACAAAGTTGCAGAATGCAAAAATGAAAATGCTGGAGAAAGATGGTGATGCTTACCCAACGATGTGAATGTATTTAGGCCACTGACCTCTACACATAAAAATGGTCACATGATAAATGTTATGTATAGTTTACTACAATTAAAAAGAAAAGCTAATGGGGATCCCTGGGTGGCGCAGCGGTTTAGCGCCTGCCTTTGGCCCAGGGCGCGATCCTGGAGACCCGGGATCGAATCCCACGTCAGGCTCTCGGTACATGGAGCCTGCTTCTCCCTCTGCCTATGTCTCTGCCTCTCTCTCTCTCTCTCTCTCACTGTGTGCCTATCATAAATAAATTAAATTAAAAAAAAAAAAGAAAAGCTAAGTGAAGGAAGCCAGACAAAAGGCCACATGTTGTATGATTCCATGTATATGAAACATCCAGGAAAGGCAAATCCATAGAGATAGACTAGTGGGTGCCTAGGTTGTAAGGAATGGGGGGCAATGGGGAGTAGCTGCTAATAGATAGTTTCTAGAATTTGGGGTGATGAATGTTCTAGAATTAGCTGGTGGTGATGGTTACAGAACCTTGTGACAATAGTGAAAAAAAAATAAAACCATTGAATCAAACACTTGAAAATGGCGAATTTTATGGTATGTGAAGCAATGCAATAAAAAATACAGGATTTATAGTTTTTTGCTGTAAATGAGAGCAAATTTCAATCCCCTCTATTGAGTGGGGAAATGATTTCTTTTAACATGCCACCCTTCAAGTCAGCAAAGCATGCAGAAGCCTTGATCTTCTGAGATGCTGATGCTGCATCTTGGCCTCCCATGTCAAAGCTAATTTTTAAGTATTGCAGTCAGGAATCTTAGTCATATAAAGATATTTTGTACAATACTTATTAAAAGCCCAGATTTGTTGCTGTTTGTTTAGCACCCCCTTCAGAATTGATGGCTGATGTTTTGTGCTTCTGAGAGCTTCCAGAACAAGACCAGAGAGATCTTCCAAATCCCCCTGTGGTTGTTTTTAATTCTATTACAGCTTGTCCTCGAGTATTAACAAGGTAATCTTGTCTTTCCCTTACTTTACTGCTCTGACCTTTCAGGGAAAATGTGATTTTAAAATTGGACACCATCCAAAGATGATGCCAGGAGGACAAAGGATGTTATTCTGGCAAGCAGCATAGTTCCAAAGAGACAACCTGAGATATGATTCCCTTGCTACTCAAAGTGTGGTCCATAGACCAACAGCAGTGGTATCTCCCGGCAGCATGTTAGAAATGCAGAATTTGGAGCTCCTCCCCAGACCTTCTGAATCAGAATCTGCATTTCAACAAGATGTGGTGGTTTTAGACTATGTCCACAAATTCCTGGATACTCTTCTGTTCAGTGGAGCCTAATGGCCCTTGCCTCGAGTGTAGGCTGTGCTTAGTGACTTGTTTCTCACAAATGGTGGAAACGATGGAGTGTGACTGCCAAGGCTGCCTGGTCATAAAAGAGGTTGCAGCTTTTACCTTTCTCTCCAAGATCACTCAGTCTAGGAAAAGCCAGCTGCCATGTGGTGAGAACACTCAAGCAGTTAATCTGTGGAGAGGGTCACAGGGCCAAGAGCTGAGGCTGCCTGCCAGTAGCAATGATGTGCACCATCGTGGAAGTGAATCTTTCAGCCCCAGTCCTGCCTTCAGATGATGTAGTCCCAGGCGACATCCTGCCTGCAACCTCATGAGACACCCAGAGCCAGGATCACCCAGCTGTCCACTCCTAGGTTCCTGACTCTCAGCAACTACTTTCGATGATAAATGTTTGCTGTTTTCAGCTGCTGAGTTTTGGGGTGATTTGTTATGTGGCAATAATTAACCAATACCCAACACCTCCAGGTGATTTGGAAGCACATTAGTGCAAGAAGCTGAACTGGACCATGAACTTTTGGACGGCAGAGACCGTCTTGGTCATTTCCATACCTTCAGAGCTTAGCACAGTGTCTGACACTCCGTAAATTTTTGTTGGAACAAAATACAAAGTTAAATTGCCCTGTTTTTAAGAAGTGAAAACTTTTTTTTTGGTAAAAAAATAATGCACATTCCCATGGCGAACTAGTGCTAAAGCATATTTAGAGTGACAAGTAGATCTC